TTACCGGGGGATCCCCCTCGAAATGCGATTGGGCTAGTTTTGAGTAGCAATTGGGCGGGTTTTGTTGTGAAAACCTGGCAACCCTGGTGCAGAGTGTGTTTGTGCCAACACTGTAGCAGAGACAGACGCGTAATTCTTTTTTACAAGAGGATAAGACTTTATTGTATAAAGGTTGTGGTCCTTTAAAGTGAACACTGCATTGTGTCTGTAAAACATTGCTAATGATAAAGGTCACATGTTATCTGCTGACGAATTTAAGAAATATAGGAACACATAGAAAATGGTACTTTAAGTACGGGCATTGGAATTGAAAAAAAACTATTAAACAACATATGACACCTCCCTCCTAATTAGCCAAACACCTCATGAGCATGAGAAACACTTTCTTTGCTCACAGTGTATTACAGTGTGCTGAAGAACCAGATGGTACATTTTACATTCAAGTACCTCATTCTGCCAGCATTAAATCTGAAGCAGGCACATACAAGTGGGTAGGTTATTCATACGAATATACCCTTAACCATTGTTCTTCAACTTCCATGAAGCTTACCACAGGAATGTTCACATGTTTACTCAGGGTGTATTCACACCAGGAAAGTCCGCTAGTTCACTTGCTTTGGTCCGGACCAAATACAATGTTGATTTTTTGTTTGTTTGGTGCGGTTCGCTTTCACACTGCCCTTTTTGCAAGTGAACCAGAAACTGTAAACTAAACCTTAAGGTCATCCATTCATTGGTTCATCCATTCAACCGTACCAGAGTTAGTTTGGAAGCGGACCGAGACCACCTCTTCAGCTGGGTCTCGGTACGGTTGTTTGGTGCGCACCCGAGTGCGACTGCTGTATTCAAACCTGCCCAAAAGATCCGCACCAAAGGGGGAAAATGAACCTGAGTTCGATTCAATCGAACCAAACAAGACAGGTGTGAATAAACTAAAGAATTCTGTCCGAAAGAAGAGAGAGTTGCTCTAGACGAGTCAAAAGCCATAGTATTCTAAGATCAAGAGGCAACAATTTTTTTAATAATATATTTGTTATACAATGCAGTTCAAAAAGTTTGTTGTCAGTAATATAAATTTTACAGAAATTAATACTTTTATTCACCAAGGACACATTTCATCAATCAAAAGTGACAGTACAGACACTTGTTGTTATAAAAGATCTCAAATTTGTTCTTTGAGCTTATTATACTGAAAAAAAACAGGGTTATCAGGCCGATACCGATAACAGAAAAAATGAGCCGATATGGGCCGATACCGATATGGTGGCCGATATATCGTGCATCCCTAGTTTCCATAAATATTAAGCAGCACAACTGTTTTTAACATTGATAATCATTAGAAATGTTTATTGAGCACAAAGTCAGCCTATTAAAATGGTTTCTGAAGGATCATGTGACTCTGAAGACTGGAGCAACGGCTGCTGAAAATTCAACTTCAAAATTCATCCATCACAAACAAAACATATATTAAAAGAGAAAACAGTTATTTTAAATTGTAATAATATTTCACAATTTTACTGTTTCTACTGTATTTTGATCCAACAAGAGACTTAAATGTACGCATTTATAAATAAGTGACCACACAGAACACACTATCATTTATCATCAAGGACGTTGGTATGTCATGTAATTTGACTAGCTTCTACCAAGTGATAATTTTCAACAAAACAACAATAAAAGATATGGGAACAATATTCTCTCATAAAGTTATCCTAATTATATATTATATTTAATTAGTGCATCAGAACAGACTTCTGATTTTTGGCCATGATACAGCAGTTGAGAAGCATTGTATAGGCCAAATAAGGAGCTCAATAACAAGTCCTGACTCGTTACATAATGCATCATCGTTAGATTGACCAACCGGCATTGCATCAGTTGGCAGTGCACCAGAGCCTGGCAGACTCCATGATAATCCTGGATTTCTCTGCACAAGCACTGACATATATGTGCACTTACTACAGAAGACAAACCACTTTGACAGATAGGCTACTTCATTAAATAAAGTATTCTCAAAATGTTTCATTATATATTTGGCTATTTATGGAATTGCTGATGCTCACTGGAAACGTGATTAAATCTGCTAAATCTGCTATAAAAAGCCGACCTCATACGTCATTCCCCCGGAACTGCTTCTGTTTACAACAGTGAGCGCAAGCTAGATTCAAGTGATTATTACGTTTTGAATATGGAAATATTTCTTACAAAAATGCATCGATTCGCTATAGAAGACCTTTGTTCACCCCCTGGAGCCATGTGAGACACTTTTTTTTTTATGGATGGGCGATTTTTATTTAAGTTCTTTTGGACTGAAGCAATGCAACACCCGCTGAGTGCCATGAAACAGCTTGAAAGATCAAAGACAATTTTTAATATAACTCTGACTGGATTCGTCTGAAAGAAGAAAGTCATATACACCTAGGATGCCTCGGGGGTGAGTAAAACGCCGCCTAATTTTCATTTTTGGGTGAACTAACCCTTTAAGAAGCCTCTTTTTCTTCTAGCAGAAGTGCGCCTCATTTTTATGTCTGAAAATAGATAGGAAATCCTCACCAACATGGGGCACATTCACACAAACATGATTTACAATACTATGAGAAATTTAGAACTGTTCAACATGAGTAAAACATCACTAGTTAAACTAAAATATACCTTGAAAACACAGAGGTCTTATCAATGATGCAGTGTCGTCTGAAAATTATTTCTCCTCTTTTGAAGACTCATTATTTCAAAGGGTGCATGTGGGCATAAAAGCTTTTGCTGTTGCCATAGCAATGCAGTCAGCTGCATGACATCAAATAAACGCTTTTGACGTTAGCTACTGGTGACCTAGACAAACCTACTGAATATGAAGACCCACGGGGCATCAAAACCAATAACTCATAAAAAACAGAAATCACACACCCAAGGACCCAAGGATTAAAACAAATATGGATATTCTTATAAAAACATGTGCCATCTTGAGATTTGTCAAAGTATATTAAACAGTAACTTAATAATGTTCATAATGTGTTTTTAAAAGATGGATAGTATCCTCTTATAATGAGATAACTTCTTGTAGAGCTTGAAAAGCCCTTTCTAACTTCCCTGTCATACAGTCTGCTGCCAAGTTCGCTCAGCTCATTATGTTGGTGGTCACTACTGTATTATTCAGATGGTTCCATGAGCGGATGTGTTCTAAATATAAAGCTTGTCCTTAACTGGTCCAGTGAATCAGACACCTCCCCCTCAAAACTCCCAAAGACTGATTACAATTCCAGAGCTCCAGCCGAGCTGCCCTGCCACTGTCATGGGACGCCAGCCTAAATTAACAACCTCGGGCAGCTAGTCAATCATCAGTCAAATGTTCATGATACACTAATGGAAAACAACTTGTCCATCACTTCTGATGCACTTGCTATGACCATTGTGCATGTGATACTCTTGAAAAAAAAAACTATACATATACTTTTTTTTTTTTTTCAAATATAAAAGGAAATTGTTCACCAACAAAAAACATTTGACTTGTCGTTTATGTATTTAGCAACAATAGATAAATAATTAACCAATAATGTGTGCTGTAAATAAATCTGTGTTTTGTACAAATGTTGTAACTGTTGTAATAAACAAATAAAGCTCACAGCTTAAATAATTTGAAATCCATGTTGTCTATAATATATCACTGAGCCAAAATTACTGCAGCCACATAAGGTGAAAATAAGGTCACTATAAAGTACAAGGCCAAAGACAATCATTCTAAAGACCTTTTTTTTTTTACAAACCTCCCATGATCTGCCTTCATCCCTTTAGCAAACAGATCATGCGTTACAGCAGAGAAGGTGGATGAGAGATCGGACTAATATAAGTTTGCAGAGAACAAAAGCACTGCAAAAAATCAATTTGGCTTTGGCACATTGTAATTGCATTAATCCTTAAAGCTCATCTCATTGGAGTTAAGTCTCTGCACTGATCTCATGTGTCGACTGGCTCTGGTGCACAGTCCTGTGGAGAAAGCCATTGTTCGACACGCATACGTTAGCATAATATTAGGCCTTGATCCTCCTGTGTGTCTGTGGGCAAGCTGGATTCTCCTAGGTTTCATTAGGCAGAAAAAGCATGCATGCTGCCCAAAACTTTACTGAATATGATCTCCAACTGTTAGTATCCTCAGGACTGAGAGGAAATTGCTTTAAAGAGCAACTATCAGTTTGCTGCATGGCCCTGCACAACTAAACCTAAATGAATGTCAACCACTTGAATATTGAATACTGGTTTGCAGTACTTAATTAATAAATTGAGTTTTTAATAAATTAAATTAAGTTCAAATGATTCGAAAATGCAGGCAAATTTTGAATAAATGAATAAAATGCAGTTTTAAATACCATACACTACAGTGGTGCAAATATTGCCCTCTTCATTTGCATCCTGTACTACTCCTGTCCTTTACTGTTATACACAAATGACAGATCAGTAAAGAATATCACAACCCATTAAAGGGCAAGGAAGTGGCAACATGACAAACTGTTACGACAAATTGATTATTTGTGCCACATGAAATATGTAGCTGTCTGTTTCCTCATGCACTTGGCTCTATAAGTAACTGAATAAGTAATTTGCTACTTGGCAAGCTTTGCGTTCCTCCTCATTCTGTATCAACTCTATCTGATGTGGTAAATTTGTCAAGAGCACTATTTAATTACCTCTGTTAAATATATTCAGGCATTATACTGAATATTGAAACTGGGTGACTAACAATAAAGGAAATGGGCAACTTTTGTCTTGAGCAAAAATATTTTCAAACAGTCTCAGGGTTTACAAAAATAAGTATTCATGTAAATGGAAAGCTACATTATCAGTGACAGCAAAACAGCAGTTTTGTTGCAATGTCCAGATGCTTATTGGTGAGCTGAAAATATAAGAATCAAACACACCGAGGAATGTGTCAATGCGTCAAAACCACATTTTATCTAACAACTTTTCTTCTTCAAACATTCAGAATAAAGGGAATATGATTTGCTTACTGCATTGTGATCCCCAAGCGGTTTTTCAATCAGTGTCCCAAATATGGTAGGCTGCAAAAAAAGTAGAAATCAATCAATCAATCGAGGAACACAAAAGTTGACACAAAGGTCATGAGGAAAGTGTAACAAGTTTAAGTTTCCTTCAACATTAAATGAGGATGTATAAATATCACATGATGTTGTCATGATCACAGGCAATTCAGACGGCTGACCGATAAACTAGATTAGAGTCATTAGGCAAAGTTAGTTACTGCAAACTCAAGTTACATAAGAGCTCAAACTGCACCTAGACCCGTAACATAGCATTAGAAAAGCTTTGCAAACAGAACACGATACAATTACACATTCACATCCTCTTATTTATTTAAATTTTTTAGGATATTAAAGCTTAAAGATTGTTGACGATTGCATCACTGTTTGCCATTAACTGAGCTTTGCCTAATGATTTATTAATCATATTTTGCATACCACATGAGTATTTTTACTGCACAGCCAATATGCATCTGAACAATATTATGGACACTGTTCTAGTATCCATATCATTTCCCATGCTTCGTTGAAAGTGTCATTATATTCACACTTGACATATTGCAAAAGTGACATGGATTCAGTGCTAAAACTGGGAAGAGAGATGCTGACCATTCAATATGTGAATGCTTCGTTTTATCAGCTTTATTGAACCATTCCATAATTAAGCAATCATTATGCCGAACATCAACCTTCAAGAGAATATTTAATAAATCAGACTGATTTATTAGCTTTACTGATCTCAGTGTTACTGCGGTGGAGTAATTTTCCACAGTGCAGCATGTTTCCTGAGGCTGTTGTCCAGAACACAGGACGCTTCAAGTCTAACAACCCCCGTGATATTTAATGACTGTGGCTAAGGAATAATGACCATAATAAAAGAGCGGAATTCATTATTTGAGTGAGCAGGTGTCTATGTCAAGATTAATGGAAAATGTGTGACTGTAATATAGACATAAAAGAAAAAGGAGCTTGTTTAGCTAATTAAAGTCTAGACCTTCAAATAACAAATGAGACAACATGGCAGAAAGCATCTCGCCCTGCAAGTCCATCAGTCAGTGATCCAAAGCAATTAACAAAACAACAGTGCTACATTACAGCACCCGGTGGCTCCGGCAGAGAATGAGAAAATGACAGAATAGGCAGCAAAGCAAGTCATGCATGTAATTAAAAACATTCCACTAATACAACGGCTGCAATCGTAATGGGCTACACTAACAATCCTTCTTCCCCTGTAAAACTACTTGAGTTGCAAGTCCTGTCTTGCATTTATTGTAGTTGGCTGTGTCAGAAATGTAATCCATGTTGACTTAATCGGAAGGATGTTTGGAGTTTGGCACAGCTGGAAAGAATGTGATCTCATGGATAATCTAAGGGCTGGATCATTCATCGGCCTATTAATTATAATCTGCCTTCAGTTCCACAGCCTGTTTTTAATATCATGTTGTCTAGCTCAGTATGAATGGTAACACTTTACAACAATGTTAACATTACTTAATTCAATAGAAATCTATGTATCTATCTATCTATTTGTCTGTCTGTCTATCTATCTATCTATCATGGTGTGATAACATAGTTTATATTTTGAGATAGTATTGTATATAGTATAGTGGCCTAAGTAGTATATTAATAATATAACATTAACCTACATCAATAAATTCTATAACAAGAAATGTTTAGATGCCTAATGTATGAACTAATGTTAACAAATTGAGTCTTATTGTAAAGTGTTAACGAAAGCATTCAGGGACTTTAATTTCAAGCCACCATGGTTCTTAATACTTAGAGGACTTGGCTTTAACACATTGTATTTGCTTCAACAACTGCCAAGCATGTCTAGGGCTGCTCCAAGGCTAGATTCAAGTTTTCCAGTAATCTTCATAATCTTCAACCATGCAAACAACACGGTCTGAAGGGCAGAACAGGAATCCGCCATCCTCAGGTGCCAGGAACCAGACATTTCACACACAGTTTGATCACTGGAACACCAGTTCCTGGCACTGAAGGAGCCAAATTGTGTCTACTGAGGTTTCTGTTTTAATGGAAACACTGGGGGAATCCATGCTGCTGCCACAGGTGCACCAGACCCCTCTAATCACACAGATGATTGCCTCTTCTGTCACACTGACGTCTGTGTGAAAAACAGATGCTCACCTACATGTTATCTCAGGAAATTGCATTCCCTATAATTCAAGAATCAACTATTAACTCTGCAAATATAGTGACAAACAAGACAAGCATAATGAAATCATTCTCCTTCCACTGCCATTTAAACTGTCAAAGCATAAATTCAAGTCATCAGGTTGATTACGAGCTCCTTCTGTGTGATTTTAAATAAATGATTGATTGACTGCTATTGTGAGCAAACTTGGTGCGCTCGAGTGAAATGTATACTTTGTGAATGGAACTAACTGTAGGGTAAAGGGTCAAAGAAAGATTTCTCAAATGAATGGATCTTTCAGATTTAGACTTTCGACTGACAGGTCTGAATCAATCCTTAGCATTGACTTCTAAATCTCTGTCTGAGAGCAGACAGTTGAAGGATGTCTGGCAGGTCTGAAAGTTGTCGATTAGTCATCCTGAAGTGCTGTGTCTCTTCTGGGATTCATTCATTTAGAATGCAGTCGTGCTACTCAAACTGAAGATATTTCTGAAACCATGTGAACACAAAATCAAAGAAGTGCTAAAGCCTGGAGCTTAATTCTTAATTTTACTCAGCAAGGATGCATTAAACTGATCAAAAGAGTCAGTAAAGACCATTATTTTACAAAATATTTCTATGTTAAATAAACGCTGTTCTTTTGAACTTTGTATTCAAAGAATTCTAAAAGAAAAAAAAATGTGTACATCCACAAAATATTGTGCAGCACAACCATTTTTAACATTGATAATAAAATGTGTGTGACACTGAAGACTGGAGCAATGGCTGATGAAAATTTACATCAATTTTCAGATTTACCATCTCTGGAATAAATTACTTTAAAAAAATATTAAACAGTTATATTTAAACAGTAATAATAATATATATATATTTCTCACCTTATCTTGGTAACTCTGCTATCAAACACTTTCAGGTTGTATAAAATAATCATGGGATCATTTTATACCAGCAAATAGAGAATTCTTATAATGTTATCAGCAACAAAACATTCAATGGGGTTTGTGGGCGTCCTGCAAGACAGAATGAACTACAGACTTACAATAACCAAATGAGATGATGTGACTCCCACTACTATCAACCAAAGGTAAAATGTTTATTTTTTTTTTTTAATTAAATTAATGAAATATGTTTGCATGATCGAATTTTGCTGTCATCTAATGTCATCTGCGTTTTCTGAAGTCCACAGTCAACGCAGCCATCTACCAGGAAATTTTAGAGCACTTCATGCTTCCTTCTGCTGACAAGCTTTATGGAGATGCTGATTTCATTTTCCAGCAGGACTTGGCACCTGCCCACACTGCCAAAGGTACCAAAAGCTGGTTAAATGACCATAGTGTTGGTGTGCTTGATTGACCAGCAAACTGGCCTGACCTGAACCCCATAGAGAATCTATGGGGTATTGTCAAGAGGAAGATGAGAGACACCAGACCCAACAATGCAGATGAGCTGAAGGCCACTGTCAAAGAAACCTGGGCTTCCATACCACCTCAGCAGTGCCACAAACTGATCACCTCCATGCCACGCCGCACTGATGCAGTAATTCATGCAAAAGGAGCCCCTACCAAGTATTGCGTACATGTACAGTAAATGAACATACTTTCCAGAAGGCCAACAATTCACTAAAAATGATTTTTTTTTATTGGTCTTATGAAGTATTCCAATTTGTTGAGATAGTGAATTGGTGGGTTTTTGTTAAATGTGAGCCAAAATCATCACAATTAAAAGAAACAAAGACTTAAACTACTTCAGTCTGTGTTCATTGAATTTATTTAATACACGAGTTTCACAATTTGAGTTGAATTACTGAAATAAATGAACTTTTCCACGACATTCTAATTTATTGAGATGCACCTGTAAAAACGGCAATAAATACAGTACAACTGAAAAGCTGGGTGTCAGTAATATTTTTTTTTTCAGCAAGGATGCATTAAATTGATCAAATGTAACAGTACAGAAATGTATTGTTACTATTTCTTTCTATTTCAAATAAAGGCTGTCTGCAATGTTTTCATCAAAATTGTTTGTTGCTTATCAATGTAAAGTCATCACAAAGCAAGGATTTATGCTAATATTGTCCAAACCCCCACTTTGCCTAGGGAGTTTCCAAACTTTTGAGGTGTTTTTTTTCATGGTCCTGTCAAAGTATAAAATATACAGGTGTTTAAATAAAAGCTAATTTTTGCCTTGATTAGTGAGGAATATGTTTTGATCACATAGGCACATCTAATAGTCGTAGTCACGCTAATCCTCCACTGGCAAAAAAGGTTGAGCTCATAAAGGAAAGCGTGCAACGAAAAACACAAGCCCAGTCCAAGGAGCCTTTTGATGTGAAAGAGACCATACAATGAAACATGAGACCCCTGTAATGCTAGTCTCATACACCCAAGCCACAGTCCTCAGTGTTTACCTTCTGTGAGAAATTTTTTTTTTCTTAAGTAATTTAAGTTTGAAGGCAGATTTCACAGGTCTAATTGTTGCCATTACTACATAAAGCCCCTTTATGTCACTTTTTAATGAAGTGCTTTTATTACAATTTGGCCCAGTGAGCCAAGTGTAAAAATCAGGTGAGCCTCATCAAAAACTTTTGCAACGCGATCCCACCAAACTCTTTCTTTCTGAACTCAGCTGCTCACCTCAAAAAAAAAAAAAACTGGCATCAAATGCATAGTATCAAAGAGTCAGATAAACCCAGTCGACCCCGGCTGCGGTTGAGCCTGGGCACGGCTGCCTTGAGAACAAGTGGAGCACATGCTGACAGAAAGAGAATCTGAATTTGGGAAGATGAAAGTCATGTTTAAGCATTCCTAGACGCTCTCTTCAGAAGGACTATGACTGTGTATGTGCGCGAGGATCAAAGCCTCGC